AGGTTTGGTACTTTCTCCAGTCTGCTTTAGTGTAGTTGAGTTTTGGGTCTTGGTGGGTTAGCTCAGGTGTAAGATTGGGACCAATATTGATATTTATTGAGATGGGGGAAGTGGTCCTTCCCAGGGGTCGTCGAATACTTCCCAAGTTGATTTGCATGCCAGATTGGGCGTGGTGATGGTTAAGTCTATTTCTGTTAGGGAGTTTTGATTTTCCCTGTTGGCTGTATCTGGTTGGGGATTTGTCATTTAAAATAATTAGAGTCGTTTTGCTGTGCCCATTCGTATAGTAAATTTCCAAATTTGTCCGAGTGGTTTCTGAATTGGTCCAGCTATGGTGATGCGCGTTTAGATCTCCTAAAAAGATTGTGTGTTTAGAAATATGGTTAGCTAGTATTTCAAGGTCAGTTTGGTCCATAGGGTTTGTGGTTTGGTGATATATGTTGACTAGTGTTATGTTTGTTTTTTCTATCGTGATTACATATGCTTGTGTTTCCAAAGTGGGGGGCTATGTTTATTGTATTTGTTTGTAACTGAGTGAGTCATGTATGAATAAGGAAAGGCCACCGCGAGTAGCGTTTGGATTGTTTATTGTGCGGTATTTATTGAGTGTGGAGTAGTTTGGTATAGTGAATTGTTTATTTTTTGTATTTTTTGATTCTTGAATGGCTATTATTTGTGGATTTAGCTTATTTAGTTTTATGAGTGATTTTATTTCATATGATTTAGGTATGAAGCTATTTGCATTTCACTGGATAATATGCATAATGACTACTGGTAGTAGTGCAAGTAGAAACATGTGTAGTTTAGATTGAACGCGTGTGTTGTGTCTCATGTTAGTTTGACGGTTTAACATTGTGTTGAAATTGTGCTAATGGGAGCGTGTCGAGTGAGGTTTGGAGGAGATATTCGTGAATTGTTTCTATTGTGTTGTTGGGAGAGAGAGAGTTAGTGCAGTAATGAATTCTATGAGCTTATTTTGCACATTTTGTAGTTGCGTAATTGTGACTTGTGCTGTGTGTTTTGGGCGCGGGTTGAGTTTGATCTGTGGGATTTGGGGAGGAGCAACTGCTGGTTGCTCAAGGCTGGCTGGGGTGGCTGTGACAGCCAGGGGCGGCAGCTTTGTTTTGTTTTTGTGTTGTGTGATCCTACGACCCCGGGAAGATGCCAGACTAGCTGAGCGACTGGAGCTTAGTGCTCTTGACTCTTGGGGATTTAATGGTGGTGGGAATACGTCGTCGTCGCCATTTGAGGATGCGTACGACTGGGGTTGGTCGTACCAATTGTATATTTTGGAGTTTAAGGGGTTCGGCAGGGGCGGGTAGGTCAGATGCTGTGAGAGATGTTTATTTATTAATAGGATTTTGTTTGGGCGAACTGGGCAGGAGTTTGAGAAGGCGTTATGATCGTACTGATCACAGTTTATACAATACAGTTGTTAGAGTGCACTCTGGACTGTTATGGAACTCGGAGCTGCATTTGGAGCATCTGTCTAGGTTTTGCAATTTGATTGAACATGTCCGAAAAGGTGACAGGTAGTACATTGAATTTTTTTTTTTTCTAGTTGTGTACTTTGCAAGAGATTGATCAAATATAATTTTATCAGGAAGTTTGGTGCCTTTGAATGTCAGGATGACAGTGGAAGTGTTTGATGGAGGACTGTGTGGTTTTGTTCTGGTGATCCTGAGTAGATTGGTAATTTGAGGCTGGGTTTGGAGTTTGTTTGATTCGTATACATATGTCTGAAGGTCATGGCCAGACTCCCGCTGGGTCAGTGTAAATGACCCCTTTTGTTTCGGATAGCCAACAGGGTGTTGCCAAGATAGGTTGAGGCCATCTTTGATGTATTTTTCATTGCCGCATTGAGGTCGTCTTGATGCTGAAAGTTTATTTTGAAGAAAGCCCTGCCGCAGTTGTTTAGGAATTTGAATTTGAGATTAGATTGTTTTAGTATAAGCCCAAATCTGATTTTTGTGTACAGGGGAGGTGAGAGGCGTGGGACCTGTATTGAATGCGAGAGTATTAACTGTTGGTTATTGTTTGGTTGTGTTTGGTTTAGAACCTTGTCGTTTTGCATCTTGGATTGTGTTTACAGGTCCTGTGGGGATTGTCTAAGACGTTTGCCACCCAAGGCTGTAGTCGAAGCTAGGTTATTTAATAGAGTTGATTGGGACTTGCGAGGGGTAGCCATGGAAATGGTGGGCGATTTTGGAGGAGATTTAGGAAACGTTGATGGAATGAGAGAAGTGGGGTTGCTTAGATCAAGAGGTCGGAACTGGGAACTTTGTGAAGTTTAGCGGGAGTTGTCGTGAGTGAAGGGGAGGGTGAGGAGTGGTGAAAGTAGTAGAGAGGAGCTTACAGTCTTTCCTTGAGGGGCGTTTGTCTTTCTGCTGATCGAGGGTTGGTGTCAACATTGATCCTTGAGGTGTAGGAGGAGGCCCGTCATTTCGGTTGTGGTGACGGTCAGTGATAGTCCGATTTCGATCGGACGCCATGTTAGAGAGCTCGAGCAGGGTGACCTGCTGCAGGTGGATTTCACCATAGGCCACAGAGGCCAAAAAACAAATATCCAGTGGCAACCCAGGAGACGGAGGGGAAGATCGCTGACTCATTTAAAGACGATAATGTTATCAAGACGTAGATAAGTGAAAAGGAAGGGAATTGCAATCGCAAGTGATTTTGAATACAACTGCTCTCGGTGACCATCGCCAAATGTTGTTGGGAGGTAGAGTTGGTGTGAAATAAAAAGGAATAGAGAGGCGCGCGGACCTCTGAGAAGATAGGTGGTTGGAGAGAGAGGTGAAGTTATAGATGGCTGGATAGTAGGCTGAAAGTGAATCGAGATTGCTAGGTTGAGAGGTGGGCGCGGACGTCGGAGGGTCAGTCACGCACATATGGTGAATTTGGGTGACATACCTATCCGTGAAACAATTAGTAATGAAACAATAGGCGAGAGCTTTCAATACAACTGATAGCTCATGACAGGTAATTAATGACAGATGGTCGGATTGGCCTGTGCTGATAGTTATAGCCCGGGAAAGCCACTTTTAAGAAAACAAGAGTTGAAAATGGTGTGGTTCAACCGGCAATGGGTATGATTAGTGAATGTGGGTCATCCGGCAATTATTATTAGCTAATCCATGTTACCTTAAATAATGCAGATTTTTAAAATATCGCTCTAAATTAGCCGAATTAAGTCAAAATGAGGCTGAATTTTGTGTCTTGATGCTTATTACATACTTTCATTCATTTACAACCTCAAAACATGGAAAAACATGTATTTTGAGTAAAAGTAAATATTCTCGCCAATCGGCCAAAATGCTTTTCGCCAATGGTCGAGATTTTTTAATATGGCTCTAAATTAGCTGAATTAAGTCAAAATGAGTTGAAATGTGTGTCATGACACTCTACCCACTACACCAGGGACCAGTCTCTGATCAGGCAGCTCTACCCACTACATCGCGGGCCCAGCGTCTCTGGTCAGACCCTCTACCCACTACATCACGGACGCGGTCTCTGGTCAGACCCCTCTACCCACTACACCACGGACGCGGTCTCTGGTCAGACACTCTACCCACTACACCACGGACGCGGTCTCTGGACTGACGCTCTACCCACTACACCACGGACGCGGTCTGTGGTCAGACCCTCTACCCACACACTACGGGCGGTCTCAGGGACAGACTCTCTACCCACTACACTACGGACGCGGTCTCGGACAGACCCACTCTACCCACTACACTCACGGAGGCGGTCTCTGGTCAGACGCTCTACCCACTGCAGCGGAGGCGGTCTCTGGTCAGACCCTCTACCAGCTTCACCACAGGAGCGGTCTGTGGTCAGACCCTCTACCCACTACACCACGGAGGCGGTCTCCGGACAGACCCTCTACCCACTACACTACGGACGCGGTCTCTGGTCAGACCTCTACCCACTACACCACGGACGCGGTCTCGGACAGACAACCTACCCACTACACTACGGACGCGGTCTCCGGACAGACTCTCTACCCACTACACTCTGGGACGCGGTCTCGGACAGACTCTCTACCCACTACACTACCGGACCTTTGGTCTCGGACAGGCAGCTACCCACTACACTCTCGGGACGGTCTCGGACAGGCAGCTCTACCCACTGCACCCCACGGACCGGGTCTCTGGTCAGACACTCTTCCCACTACACCCGCGGAGGTGGTCTCGGACAGACCCTCTACCCACTACATCCGGAGGCGGTCTCCAGACAGACCCTTTACCCACTACACCACGGAGGCGGTCTCTGGTCAGACACTCTACCCACTGCACTACAGGACGCGGTCTCTCGACTGACGCTGAAGATGAAGCAACTGAAAGAGACGCAAAACAGCTATTACCATGGAGTTGTTGCATGACGTCGTGCAGCATAATCAATTTCCTGTCATGTCCATCAATCCGGTTACATCTGCGCTTAATATTTTGTTTATCAGGAACACGATGTGTGTAATCAATCCTAGATCCTTCCGAGCGCCTGACAAGCACATTCTAAATCTCTGCTTTGCCCATCTCACTGCTAAGGCGTCTTTCTCCATATCAGTCATGGGTCTGCTGACGGATGCCACCCGTGGGGCAGGATACGCTCCACGCGAACACCTGATGTCATCACTGGATTGTCTGGTTCAGACCCGATTTGTTTACAAACATTGTGCAGCTTTTATACTGCTGAAACAAATATATCCTCATCATATAGTCACAATTGTACAATGTACTTTTTTGGGAGAGGTTTCCATGAATGTGAAAAAGGGTTTGTCGCCTCTATCAAGATAGTCACACATCACTTATGGGTTACAGAATGCACAGTGTGGATTAGCACACTGTTCAATGTATGTGTGACAAGTTTTAACAACAAGCGTGAGCTTGATTTTAGGAGTCTCGGTTACAATAAGATGCATCTAGGCTACAGTAAGACGAAACAGAGTTTCAAAGAAAGCTGGTTTTAAATCTTATGCACAGGAAAATACAGACACATAATTATGGTGTGATAGTTTATTGACAATGAGATATTTCATCTACATCACAGATTCTTCTTGTCCAGGACCAGAGGTTTCGCTCCCAGGGCAGGGTTTCCCAGTCTGGAAATACAAACACACTTCGTCATATGGGGACATGTGTGTGTCAGGGTGGGGAGAACATACACACTTCGCCATGTAGGGGATATGTCTGTCAGTGTAGGGAAAACATACACACTTCGTCATGTAAGGGACATGTCTGTCAGGGTGGGGAGAACATACACACTTCGTCATGTGGGGGACATGTCTGTCAGGGTGGGGAGAACATACACACTTCGTCATGTAAGGGACATGTCTGTCAGGGTGGGGAGAACATACACACTTCGTCATGTGGGGGACATGTCTGTCAGGGTAGGGAGAACATTCACACTTCGTCATGTAAGGGACATGTCTGTCAGGGTGGGGAGAACATACACACTTCGTCATGTAAGGGACATGTCTGTCAGGGTGGGGCGAACATACGCACTTTTTAGTCATAATTCAATATGGACTTTATTTAAATATCTCCTGTAAACAACTTCAAGTTGGAGGGGATAATGGTTCCCAGAAGTAGATCGCCTCACAAATCTTACAAGGCATATTTTAACATCTTATCAAGACGTAATGAAAATAAAAATAATATGGGTGATTTTTTTATACATCTTTTATTCACGTTCTGTATAACATGAGTTTCACTGGACGAAGTTACAGTCATTTCATGTTAGACATGAGCCCTGTTGCCAAATGTTTCAGAGATAGATCCTCTCGGAGAAATAATGTATGTGTCCCTATATATATATATATATAAATATTTGTCAGGGTTGAGATTGCGATCTGATCGGAGATTCTACCAGTAGAGACTTCGCAGTCTTTACCAGTATCCTACTAGTAGAGATTGAAATCGGATCCTACCTGTCAGATCCGATTCTACCAGTACAATTTTCAATTCAACTGGTAGAAACCCCTGGATTGTTCTGTAGGCAAACAACACTTTATTTGCTGAACAATAATATTCATTTGTTATGCATGTTATTTTGATATGTGAAAATGTAAAGAAATTCAAATAATTCCATATCAATGTATCTCACTTTAATACAAATTGCATTAATTGATAATGTCCTAATCATGACCATTTTGTTGATACAAACTATGGTTTCACATATGAAAAAATCATATGTAGGATCAGAATGGAGCTTCCACTGGTAGAGATTGCAATTGCATAGGTTATTCTATATACATGTTATAAGTTTCTACCAGTACAGACTCCGCTTGCAATCTCTACCCTGGCATATATATCATCTCTATATATACATTGTATATAGTTTAGGTGAATGAATTCATGTATTCAAATCATTGAACGCTTATTATTAGCATATAGTCTGAACAACATGAAAAACCCTCAGTCTTTTCCTATAAATATAAATGCATTCAATATGTTTGGACACATACTAGATACATAATAACAATATTTGATCATTTACATATTCCTAGAAATGCCTCCATCAACACGCCCAACATGACCAGCGTACCGAACTGAGATGATAAACAATACCTAAGCGACAATGTATCACTGTTCAAAGTGACAATACCCGAGAAAATCTGTTTTCACACCTGATAATTTGTTGTTTATATGGGTTGTGTCCCTACAAGCGGCCACCGTCCTGGTTCGGTTATCCCTGGTGGCAAACAGCAATTAACAATTGCGTAATCCAGAGAGCGGCCACTCAGGGAAAACACCAAAAACAATGTCGGGTGGTGCCGTATGGACAATACACGTCTATCCAGTAGGTTTTATCGGTTCAGTTAAACACCAGATGATGATATTTTTGTTGATTGTAGGAAGACATAACAGAGAACTTTGTAATGAAACATACATTGGGTCCGCACAATTAAAGTTCACAAGTTATAACTTTATAAATATTCTCTTTCATGTATTAAAATACTTTTTCTAAACGATGCATAGTTTGATAGTTTATCCATGTATATTGTGGTATTACACAAATATGATATTAAGCAGCATGCGCAAACATATTTAAGTCATATGTCTGCACCTCCAAGTACTTACAATGTCATATCGGAATATTCATTGTCCTGCAGCAACATCAGGTGTGCATTGTCTGCCGATTTCAAATAACACATCAACCGGCATACCATGCAGATTTTATGTGGTACAGGAAAGGTAGGCAACGGCTCGAAGGCACATCCAAGCAAAACATATGTTGCTGGGTAATCTACGATAAGGGTTACTATAATTCATTGCAAAATGACAAAACTCTCATTAGGAGAGGGGTAATCATAATCATCGGAAAGGAGCAGGTGCCCACTCTTGCACACAGATCAGACGTTACAGGGAATAAGTAAAAACAACATGTAGGCGTGCATCAAAGGGATTACAGCGAAAACAAGTATAGGATAGGGTAATAAAGACAGTGACAACAGGGGAAGTCAAATGTCCAAAAGGTAAAATGATATTATGGCTTGGAAATGCTCTGCTAAGTTGTTGCTATCAGTTCATTCATTGTATGCAGATGGGATGAGATATCCTTCATCTCTGTTGATGGAGGGCTTGTGTCCGCGGATTTGAACTGCTTAATCCATGTTGATGTATATATAAGTCTGCTACAGCACCTCAGTCTCGGCTTGACAACGGTATAATAATCTATACTGAAACGCCGCATCCTATATAATATAGACGTTGTCATCCATGAAGCGAAAATGTGTTGAAAGAACGATATGAATGCAAGTCACTAACGTGAGGATCTAAAATCATATGGTGGTGTGCAAATCATATGCGTTTCTAAATTCGTGATTGGTATATTTTCTCATGATATTATTGTATGAATAATCGTTTCCTTTCACACTCGTATTATAACACAAATCATAAAATAGATAAGATCTATATATTATGATCTCTCGGTAGCAACAGCATGGAGCGTGTTGTTCAGTGACAAAACAATATGAAAATTCATCGAGGAGATACTTTGTCCTTAACCACCTCAGCATATATACTATACTTCACGGCAATGACGATTTATCTCCTTTAGACAATGAAAACCTTATAAAATCCGTTCAGAATTATATAACTTCGAAACTAATCGCTTTACGGAATTCAAGTAACAACCTATAAACATAAAATGCACTTGGTGTCTTGTTCTCTATTTTCTTTTGTTTTGATTCATTCATTAATGTCCCAATGTCTGGCTCCATAGAATTAAGTCAAGATAATAACGAACTATATGCGGAGAAGCATTGACATAAGGCCATATGGCCTGTTTGCTAATCCTATTTCCATTTTGTTATGTCGTTGTATTATGAAAAATGTAAGCATTAATGGAAATTTTAAAAATAGTGTTTAAATCACAATACCGTATAAATCTCGCAACCTCTTTTTGGTAGAGAGATATCGAAGTTCTTTCCAAACGTATTCATCAGAGTTTCATTCACCATTTTATCTAAGAAAATTTTGATACCTTTTCGATAATAGAACGTAGACATGGTTTGTTGGACCACTGACTTCAAAAAATACTGACTTTATGCATTTCATTTTGTGCAATGGTACATTATGTTTAGCACTCATCTATGTGCACAAACCAGCCGTTTCAACACATTACCCTGAAGAGATATTTTCATAAGGCAAGTTTTTACTCTCTTTTACTGATCCAATGTATAGGTTGTTTATTGCAACGGCAGTGTTAGGTAAACAAAGAGATGTGGATGAATGAATCATTAGGACTGGTATATTTTTCAAACAATTTAACAATATGATATTTTGTGGTAGGAATCCTGGGTGACTAACATCATTTCAAAATCAGTGGTGACTCGACATTCACAATTGTCTCTAATTTCCCAGGAATGCGACAGCAAAATTGCTAATAAAAGCATACGGTCTTTTTGATAGCAACTTCTTGTTAATTGCATAGAGCAACGTTTCTGTGTAGGTTCTCACACCATGTTCAAGCTAACGGTGACAAAACCAAGTGATTAGAATGATCGAATGCTGTGACAAACATCGTAAAACTTGAATAACAAGGGGTAGATAATGGTGGACGAGGCCAGGTGGGAAGTAAGAACAATAAATAGCACAGCCATGAAGCCGATAAAGCAGGACGGATTAAGTTGTAAAACAGTCATAAAACGGGTGCTGATTGAGTCTATAGCTTTGAGTCAGAAATTTTCGTAGGAAGGCTATGGTATGTAGTACCCTTCGTCAAGTCACTACATTCATGGCGCTCGTCACACGTTGCTTTATGCAAAGAACAAGAAGTTAAGTATTAAGAAGCCGCATGCTAGAATGCCAATGAGAGCAACCACAATCATAATTGCTGTTCATGACGTTGTTGTATAATTTGTATATATATATACAACCTACTTTATCTGACCCTCTTTACACCAGAAACAGTGTATCGAATGGGGTCCAACACAGAACTGAACCAAAACATCTAATGTCATGATGATATGAATTGCTTAAATTCCTCAAACTGGTCTTTGAGGTAATAACAGGAAGTGTATATAGTTTAGTTTCCTGATCATGAATCAAAGTTGGGCTGTCATTCTGATGCAAATACCCCAAACTCAACAAAGATCAGGTCCATTTGCAGATCAGTTGATCACACTGATTGCTAATTACCTAGAATAAACAAGAAGTGGCCCACACGCAGGTGTCTCATAAATTATCTGATACAGGTGAAAGGACGGTTAAATGCACACTCTCCCGGAAATAGTAGCCATTACAAGTATTTACACAGGATGGTATTTGGTCGGGATCGTTTATTACCTGCTGTATCTAGAACACATGTTTTCTACCCGCATTACGTTATTACACAACATAATGCAGGATTTGAAGAAAGTGAAGAGCATTTCAAAGTTTATTACAATATGTATATACATGCATCCCTGTCTCAGTTCACAACATTATAATGCTGGCAATCAGTGACCCTAAACAGTGGTCACCTACTACCTATGGAAGATTCGTTCTGTTAGTTCATTTCCCGGGAAGACTGACAACTGTGATTATCAGAGATGAAATGACTGCAACTTAGCAGAGAAACTCATGTAATACAGAGTGTGAATAAACGATGTATAAAGAAATCAAATTATTTTTATTTTCATTTTTCGTCTTGATAAGATGTTAAAATATGCCTTGTAAGATTTGTGGGGCGATCTACTTCTAGAGACCCGATTCCCCTCCACTTGAAGTTGTTTACAAAGGAGAAAACAACATCATTTGAAGAAAGTCCATGATTGAGATTATCCAAAGATGGTGTCACAATCATTTTCAATTAAAGGGCCAATTCTGGTAGTGGGAAATGAAAATTTCTGACAGAATTTCTGCGGGAAAAAAAAAATTCTGCCAGAAATTTCTGCGGATAAAAAAAATCTGCCAGAAATTTTCTGCGGAAAAAATTAATTATGCCAGTAATTTCTGCAGAAAGTACATTTTCAGACCCATTTGTGAGGGTTATGAACACGTGAGGCGCACTGGCACATGAGATTTTTGGGGTTTAATCTCCTCGAGATCTTTCCAATGATATAAATTATGTCTTTGTACCTGGCTTCCTTCTGTGTGTCAGAGTTAGGACTCGCTGGCCATTCCTAAGTTGTCCCACCCGGCATTATATACACACTTCGTCATGTAGGGTACATGTCTGTATCAGGATGGGGAGAACATACACACTTCATCATGTTGGGAAGATAGTTGTCAGGGGTGGGGAGAACATACACACTTCGTCGTGTAGAAATGTGTGTCAGGGCGGGGAGAACATACGCACTTCGTCGTGTGCGAGGAAATGTGTGTCCAGGCGTGGGAGAACAGCCACACTTCGTCGTGTGCGGGAAATGTGTGTCAGGGCGGGGGAGGAACATATACACTTTAGTATTGTGCGGGAAATGTGTGTCAGGGTGGGGAGAACATACACACTTCGTTACAGTGGGGACATGTCTGGCGGGGTGGGAGAACATACACACTTTGTCGTAATGGGGGGGACATGTGTGTGCCAGGCAGGGGAGAACATACACACTTCGTCATGTGAGGGGACATTTGTCTGTCGGGGTGCGGAGAACATACACACTTCATCATGCAAAATTACATGTCTGTCAGGTGGGAGGAGCACCACACACTTCGTCATGTGGGGAGAACATACACACTTCATTACATGGGGGACATGTGCGGCAGGGTGGGAGAGGCTGCCAGCATCATGTGGGGGACGTGTCCTTGGGGTGGGGAGAACTGCCATACACTTCGTCATGTCATTGTCAGTTGGGGAGAACATATTTAAAGGAAATACGTACACTTCGTTACGTGGGGACATGTCTGGCAGGAGTGGGGAGAACATACACTTTGGGTACATGGGGGACATATCACAGGGGAGCAGTGGCATGTCTGTAAGTGGGAAGACAGACACTTCGTCATGTGGGGGACATGTCTTTCAGGGTGGGGAACATACACGCATGATCATGGGAGCTAATGTCTGTCATGGGAGAACATACGCTGTCAGGGGGACATTATCTGTCAGGGAGAACATGCACGCTTTGTCATGGGGGGGACATGTCTGCCAGGGGTGGGGAGAACATACACACTTCGTCATGTGAGGGACATTGTCTGTCACGCTTCATCATGCAAAGTACATGTCTGGTGGGGAGAACATACACACTTCGTCATGTGTCTGGCAGGGTGGGAGACATACACACTTCGTGGGGGACATGTCTGGCAGGGTGGGAGAACCTGCACTTCGTCAAGAGTAAGTGACGTATCTGTCAGGGTGGGAGAACAGACACATACACGTCTTTCAGGGTGGGGAACATCATGTCATGTGGGGACATGTCTGTCAGGGTGGGAGAACATACACACTTCGTCATGTTGGGGACATGTCTGTCAGATTAGGGAGAACATACACAATTCATCATGTTGGGGACATGTCTGTCAGAGATTGGGGAGAGCATTCACACTTCTTCATCATGTTGGGGTACATGTCTGTGTCAGGGTGGGGAGAACATACACACTTCGTCATGTGTTGGACATGTCTGTCAGGGTATGGAGAACATACACACTTCGTCATGTAAGGGACATTGTCAGTGGGAAGAACATACACACTTCGTCAGGAGGGACATTGTGTCAGGGAGAACATACACACGTTCAGGGGACATTGTCATGTTCACACTTCATCATGGGATATGTCTGTCAGGGGTAAGGAGAACATACACCTTCTTCATTCATGTGAGGGACATGTCTGTCAGGATACATGTGGGGTAGGAGACATCCACACTTCATGTCATGTTCAGAGGGACATGTCTGTCAGGGGACATGGGGAGAACATACACACTTGTCATGTAAGGGGACATGCCTGTCGGGTGGGGAGGGAACATACACTTCGTCATGTGGGGCAGATGTATGTCGGGGTAGGAGAACATATACACTTCGTCACGTGGGGCTGTGGGGGACATGTCTGTCATTGTGGGGAGGGGAACATACACTTCGTCATGTTTTGGGACATGTGTGTCAGTTTAGGGTACACACTTCGTCATGCGGGCGACATGTCTATTGGGATAGGGATACAAAACACTTCTTCATGTAAGGGACATTGTCTGTCAGGGTGGGGAGAACATACACACTTCGTCATGTAAGGGTTCGTCAGGTGGGGAGAAGATACACACTTCGTCATGTAAGGGACATTGTCAGGGTGGGGAGACATACACACTTCGTCATGTAAAGGGGACATGTTCGTCAGAGTAGGGAGAACATACAAACTTCGTCATGTGAGGGACATGTGTCTGTCAGGGGTGGGAAGAACATCCACTTCGTCATGTAAGGGACATGTCTGTCAGGGTATGAAGAACATACACACTTCGTCATGTAGGGACATTGTCTGTCAGAACAGAATATACGCTTTGTCATGTGGGGGACATGTCTGTTATTGTGGGGGAGAACATACACACTTCTTCACATGGGGACATGTCTTTCAGGGTGGGGAGACATATACGCACTTCGTCATGTGGGGGACATGTCTGTCAGGGTGGGGAGAAGATACACACTTCGTCATGTGGGGGACATGTCTGTCAGGTGAAACAGGGAGAACATACACACTTCGTCATGTGTAAGGGACATATCTGTCAGGGTAGGAGAACATACACACTTCGTCATGTGAGGGACATGTCTGTCAGGGTAGGAACATGCACACTTCGTCATGTAGGGGACAACATCCACGCACTTCGTCATGTGGGGAGGACACTGTCCAGGGTGGGGAGAACTTCTTCACATGGGGACATGTCATTCCAGTGGGAGAACATACACTCTTCGTCAAGTTAGGGACATGTCCTGAAGGGAGGAGAACATACACATCTTCTGTCAAGTAAGGGACATGTCTCTCCAGGATAGGAGAACATACACACTTCGTCATGTGGGGGACATGTCTGTCAGGGTTGGGAGAACATACACACTTCGTCATGTAGGGACATGTCGGTCAGGGTGGGGAGAACATACACACTTCGTCATGTGGGGACATGTCTGTCAGGGTGGGAGAACATACACACTTCGTCATGTAAGGGATATCTGTCAGGGTATGGAGAACATACACACTTCGTCATGTAAGGGACATATCTGTCAGGAATTATGGAGAACATACACACTTCGTCATGTAAAGGGACATTGTCTGGGTATGGAGAACATACACACTTCGTCATGTGAGGGACATTGTCTGTCAGGGTAGGGAGAATATACACGCTTTGTCATGTGGGGGACATGTCTGTCAGGGTAGGGAGAACATACACACTTCGTCATGTGGGACATGTCTGTCAGGGTTATGGAGAACATACACACTTCGTCATGTGGGTGACATGTCTGTCAGGGTGGGGAGGACATTCACACTTCATCATGTGGGGACATGTCTGTCAGGGGTGGGGAGGACATTCACACTTCGTCATGTGGCGGGAAATGTCTGTCAGGGGTGCGGTGGGTTGGAGAGGGGTTACCAATCTCCTCACAAACGGAATGTAGTAACCGCTGACCTAGCACCTGCTAATGCCGGACTGGTGCCCTGGGCCACCAAATATTCCTACAAGGACGTATACAGTAAGAAGTGCTACGTCAAAGAAGACACATGTAGATTCAATATACTCACGCTAGTGACGTCACCCCAATGTGAACCTGTGGCAGTGAACTGACTGTACTGACCAACATTCTCCCACACCACTGTTCCTGGTGCATGTTCAGGCAACAGACCATCGTGTATGGCGGCGCGGCACCGAGGGAGGACTGAAACACGCAATCATGCTGTGCCGTTATTGCTGTAGATCGGGATATCGGGATATGTTTCGTTTCGTAAATACCCTACGTCAAGAATGAAAAGAATTTCATATTTGCTTTGTATATTATTGATCTTCATGTATGGTTATACTTAGGACACCCGGAAAACACGAGGGGTAATCACTTCTTCACCCACGTTATAATACCATAATTAACAGTAAATGCGTGTAAAGCACCACCTCACTGAAGCGCTAGGTAACAACTAGAATACCGCTCAACACGACTCTCATTTCTTGTGACGGTTCCCAGGCTGGTATGTAGTGCCAAATTTGTACTCGTGTTTCGATACATACGTTCACGCTGGGAAAGATCTCTTTTGACATTTGCAACGCCATGAACATTTAAAGCCAATCGGCATCACATAAACGTACTCATTAAACAGAATACAAAAGCGAGTGTGTTTTGACATTAAATAAGTCATTATAACTGATGACGTCACAGTAAATTACAGGGCGTTGTGGTGTAATTTCTTTTTAGCAACTTGACAGATTCGTTACAACTCCTTAGATGCAGTAGGTGTTAAAATCAGAATCAGCTGCAATGCTGGTATTCAATGACATAACTATATTTTTAAAACGACTCTAAGAGGATGATGAATAGCAGGGCTGCCAAGGCCATACAAGTAGAAGTTGTCTGTTTTATTCACAAACCGATGCATATGTTGTACTTCCATACACCGGTGTTGAATCCCCAAGACAGGTGCTTGGACAGTGGAGTCTGAAATAGAGAGTATCACCTTTGTACAACCTGCAATACAGTTGCAAACGGAAGGAGGGTGGAACTGGATCGGACATTTTTGAAGTATCTATCATCACCCGTGAAGATCCGTGTAGGGACGGTCTTGAAAAATAAGGCGACAAGAAGAAAACCTTTTTCCGCACCCTATAAAGAAGCTCTACTGTCCAGATCGGACTTTATCATAATCGGTGAGAAACCAAAACAAACACTCTGGCGCAGTATTGAAGCTGCAGATCACTGCCAGAGACTAAGGTTGCATATCCACTTTTTCTTGTTTGTGAAACAAATTAGCGCTCAGAAGAGCCTGGTCTGAGTCTACCAAGCTTTCCGACTCGCTCTGCATATTGTTCAGCATAGTTATATATAAGCATGCTCCTGCAAGCTGCAACAAAGTAGTGTTGAACATATCTAATTATTCAACAAAGTGTCTGTACCGCTAGATATCGCTTTGACAGGGCAGTGGAGCCGCACAACCAATGAAAAGCAAGGATAACTACCCAAATCGAAAACTATTAACCTCTTTAGAAATATTTTCTCATGGACATATCTATGAATACCAGAATGTCTTTTAAAGGTAATATCAATATTTCAGAAATTCAAATGATTTCCAGTAAATATGAATGATGATTTTGTTTCTTAAAATTTAGGAATTATGTATAATGGTGCTTAAGGAATTTCGGTAAAATATACATGAATTCCTGAGCGATTCGAGACATACACAATTACTGGAAATTTTCAGCAATTATACATATTTACTAGCCGCACGCCTTCCTGCCAACATATACAGGTGTAACAGCTATCGAGAGTCTACGCATGTTTCTAAATCGTATATACAGAGTGTTGCATATGCAGGTGTAACGATACCATTAGTGTAGTGTTGTTAAGGATGCTTGAAGTCCGCATCGGTATAATTCAGCCACAATACGACGAGTAACGATTCGATGGAAACCACAATACGATACTTATCCGATGACATGGGTGCGATGATATTCCTATGGAAACAAAATACTTACATTCCATAAGTTAATAATATTTATTTTATCATCCCAAAGACTGTGTTTCCCACAGGAGATATCTAGCTTGTGTAAAGATCATATATGATCTATCTAGGAGGATATCGTTTTGACAGTAGATTTTTGTACAATGCCCTGACAATGCTATGACGCCATCAACTTGAGTGACGTCACAATGCTATAAACATCACTGCACTGCAGAATCTATTGATAGTTTTACAGTCATTTAGAAGTACTGGCTTTTCATGCAAAACTATTGAAAAATGATTTTTGATGATAAAATGAGATCCTCACCCTCGTGTCTACTGATATCAATTATATCAACACTCTTTGATAAAGGTAAAAATATCCTCGGCAAGCCTCGGATGTTGTGAGCTTTATCAACTCGATATTGAAATATAATTGATATCGAACAGGCTCTGGAGTGATATTCATATATATGAATGCTTACACGCAGTATTCAGATGTACACTGGGAGGAGAATGTCACATTACAGGTTCCACGGGTCCCTGGTCCTTGTAGGCTGGGTAATGACAGCCATACACATTAGGCTCAGGAACCACAACACAAAGAGACGGGGCCAGGTTGCGCATTGCTAAACTGTACATTCACTTCTACGGAGGCCCGTTAGGGATATCTAGATCATTTTTCTTTTCTCTTAAAACTTCAAAACCACATTTAGCGAAGTTCAGGGTAATAATGCTGACATATCAATATGATGATAACGTTGAGACTTAGTGACACCACGTAAATAATCTGATCATAAGTAATGATTATTTACAGGCGTCATCGGAGATGCATACTAATAATGAGGATATTTAATAATATTAACAGGGAATACTTATAACGCGCCTTTTCCAGGCTTGATAATCCTTCTCAAAGGCACTGATAGTCATTTATTACCCCCGATAAGGTTGATAGTCTTATAGACTTATTTCACCCGGGTACCCATTTTGCGCTGGGTGAACAGGGACGATTTTGAACAAACTCCCACTTGCCTAAGGTGAGACCACATGTATCATGTAATGCTTCGTTGTGGGACAGGACCAGAAATCTTAGAAACTCTCGGTAGTCGAAGCTGTCACACGTCACACGTCCACCATCCAAGGACTCACCCATCCGGGGACTTCGCCTGATTTGTGACCTGGAGGCTTCTATGCTCAGGACCACACGTAGTGAGTGGGAATGTTGCTGTGTGCAGTGTTGGGCAAATAAACATTAGAAACAGTGAGTGAGTGAGTGAGAGGTTTAGTTTTACGCCGCTTTTAGCAATATTCCAGCAATATCACGGCGGGGGACACCAGAAATGAGCTTCACACATTGTACTTGCCCATGAGAGGGAGATCGCACCCAGGTCTTCGGCGTGACGAGCGAACGCTTTAACCATCAGGCTACCCCACCGCCCCAGAGCAGACAAACAGACAGACAGAGAGACGGACGAGACGGAGACTTTTGAGCCTTTACGACTCCACACTGAGGGAAGCTGTTGAAATCCACTTTGTTTCGAGGTCCATTGTCAGCCTCGCAGATGTAGCGTCCACTGTCCTGGTACCGGGAGATGGAGCGAATACAGTTCAGGACCCCGCCCGTCATTAGAGACTGGTTCCCACCAGTGACCTTCCTGACTTGTCCCGTCCACATCGACGCTGATACCAGCCCCTGAGTTGACAGAGGCCTCTCACTGTCAGACGTGCCTCCAGCATCACCCGGAGAAACCCACCTTCATGGACTGCTGTGGTTCCACGTAAGCCACTAGTCACCTTTATGTGTCCCACAGAAATTACAAGAAATTTCCTTATGCTCATATGAAAAATGGATTTCAAAGTGATATATGAAGATTATTACACGAGGCATGTGTCCTCATACGACTATGCAGAGCAGAGTAGAAATTTAGTATTGCCGAGGAGTTCGGGCAATACATAATTTTGCACAATGAGTTCATTATAAATCGTATGACACCTGCTCGAATATAATTTTGTTGGTATCCATCAGAAACATGTACTTTTTCTGCGAGTAAAACCAAGGTTAGCTTAGGTGTGACGGCTAGGTCACGTTCAATTGTTTAATGACGTCACAGACGACAGAAACACAGAAACAATGGTTGCTAGGCAGATTGTGATATGTGCACATAATGTGCATATATGATATATGTGGCACTGGTTTTGTTTCACTATATGGGTCAATATATGATGATCCCAATAGTTCACTGGTGAGTCTACGTAATTCATGCTCGATGACTTGCGATTAAGAAGATCAGGGCAGGCAAAGAAAAAACACATGCTGAATATGTAATAGGCGCAACGCAGCTGTATTGATCAAACATCTATTGCAAACTGGCACCAGCTGTGATCAACACAGTGTGTGTTCCAGCATCTTGAAGACAGAACATATCGTCTCAAAGTATGAAATTTATTTAAATGTTTAAAATCCTGCCGCCAAATTACATGAACTAGTACATCACATTTTATTTAAAACTGGTTGGGGGAGCATATAAAATAGTAAACTGTTAAGTGACAACACAATACGCAAAATGGGCAATAGATCGCCAACAACTGAAGGTAGGTCACCATACTAGTGACCATGGGGGCTTACAGTGCCTGTGCCACCTGCATGGACCCTAGTTGGTTTACACCCATCCAACTTCAGCCGCGCTGGCGATTGTAGGAAATATTCAGCCAAAATTTAAAGAACAGACATACTACGTTTTAACAGTCTGGTAAGTTTTATATTTAACTTTGAAAGTATTGGGACTTCCCGTGCCCTCAGGATTTTCCTCAGAAGCCCGATCTACTCACTCCAAACCTGGAAGGCTTAGGATCACCTTCTGTTCTGTCCCGAACACATTAGAGGACGTGCAGGTATAAGAGCACCTTGGTCGCCCACGGTCACGTGCTGATGGTGAGATCCATGAGTCCTTCAAAGAAACCGGGAAGGGTCGAGTGTGGAAAGGTCAGGGTCCATGTTACGTGAGGTGGAGAGGTAGCCAATGGGATCACAGCCCATTACAGCCGGAGATCCTTCGGTGACGGTGATGGAGCCACTCTGTACATGGAATGACGGCTCAGCTGGAACACAAGAGTGGACCTTGTACGTTGGACAGATTGTTGTGATATGTACGCTGGAGGGAACGCCTGTACGCTCAAGTGAGAGTGGGTGAGCGAGTTTGGTTTTACGAAAAGGAAAACG